GCCAACTTTGGCCCCAACATGTCGACGTTCGTGATGCCGACGGAGATGTACCCGACGGCCATCCGCAGCTCGTGCCACGGCTTCTCGGCGGCCATGGGCAAGGCCGGCGCGTCCATCGGCTCGTACGGCTTCTCGCTCTGGGTCGACAACCCGAGCTTTGGCTACGTCGGCACGTGGTTTACGTTTGCCGGCATCTCGGTGCTCACGATCGTCCTCACGGTCTTTTGCATGTTTGACAACAACGACGAGGCGAGCGTCATGGACAACGACTTCAAGGCCAAGCTCGCAATGGAAGACGACGACGTGCGCAAGTCGTTTGTGAGCCAGATGGAAGAGCCGATCAACGCTGACGCCATCGGCACCAAGGCGTAGACAACTTGTGCATTTTATAAATGTTGTACATTTTTGGTGCGTTCTCATTTGCCGACCTTGCGGTGGTATCCGGATGTGGTCAGATGCACACCGTCTCGTTCAAAATTTATGGACAGCCAAGTCTTTGCGGGGTTCGAGTGCAGGAACGACCAAGCACGCTGTGACTCGGCGAGTGGGGTCCACCACTTCTCTCCGTATTCCAAAGACATAAAAAGCCTTGGTCGTAACTCGTCGCTTCCTCCAACGACCACGCGCTCGTACCACTGGTACTGTAGCGCTGACTCGACACAACTACGTTGGAAAAGCCTTTACAGTTAACTTGTTGGTGCTCCTTTGTGATGCAAAAGTTAAGTTAGGACACAGTTGATGGACTGACAGGTGCCGTCGATTTCTTGTATCCACAGTGTCGGAAAAAAAAGTTCAGAAATGCTGTCTTTGCACACAGTCGCCAGCGTTGGTGCCAGGTGCGAGTCTGTTGCTAGCAGGTTCGACGTTGCACACTGTACTCTTCCTGCATTAAGGGGATCTCGCACGAACGTTCGGCGCTCTCCAAGTTCTACTAGTACTAGTGGTAGCGGGCGTTGCGGCGGCTATAAATATGGGCCCGTATCCGGCACGGCCCAATATATATTCGCGTGGGCCTGCAATATTCCATCACGCAAATCGACGATACCGAATTACTGGCGAGAGGGCGCAGTCGATTCCTCTATCGCGTCACGACGCCTCTCGAGCTACTCTTGGAGCGCGAGTTGCGGGTTGTTGAAGCGCATTGCAATGGCCACCGTGCGTCGGGTGGGCGTCCGGATACAAGCGCACGGTTCAATATTACAATATGAATATTTAAAAAAAGCGTATTTTTAGCGATCTTGCCGTTTGCGGGCAGTTTGCATTTCCACGGACGAGACGAAGATGAACATGCAGAACATGAAGTGCGTGGTCGTCGGCGACGGCGCCGTCGGCAAGACGTGCGTGCTCATCTCGTACACGACCAACGCGTTCCCGGGCGAGTACATCCCGACGGTCTTCGACAACTACAGCGCCAACGTCATGGTCGACGCCAAGCCCGTGAACCTCGGGCTCTGGGACACGGCCGGCCAAGAAGACTACGACCGCCTGCGGCCGCTGAGCTACCCGCAGACCGACGTGTTTCTGATCTGCTTTAGCGTCGTGAGCCCGGCCTCGTTCGAGAACGTCAAGGCGAAATGGTACCCGGAGATCCAGCACCACGCGCCTGGCGTGCCGTTCATTCTCGTTGGCACCAAGCTCGACTTGCGCGAAGACGAAGACACGGTCGAGCGCCTGAAGGAGAAGCGGTCGGCGCCCGTCACACACGAGATGGGCGAGGCGCTCAAGAACGAGCTCGGCGCGTTCAAGTACCTCGAGTGCTCGGCGCTGACGCAGAAGGGCCTCAAGCAGGTGTTTGACGAGAGCATCCGCTGCGTCCTCCAGCACCAGAAGAACCCAAAGAAGAAGCGCAGCCACTGCACGATCCTATAGACACACTTAATGCCTTATCTATATACACTACGTCGCTTATGTACTACTATGCCTACGCCAAGGCTGCATGCACCGCCCCATGGATCGCTGGGTACATGATATACCGGTAGTGTCGACGACGATGGATCGCGCGTCCGGCCAGGATGGCTCTAAGATCGTCGACTAAGATGCCTCTGGATTGGTGGCATCGCCATATTGGTGGTCCATTGATCAAGATGGCGCCGCCGTATTGCACGAAGATGGAGGTTACGCGGTGTATTTTAGAGGCGCCGTGTGCTTCTATTTAAAGCCGACGGACGGTTTCTGTCGGTAACATGTGCCGGTTGCTGGAATTCGTTGACTTGGGGTTTGTGAGTGAATACTTTAATCAAGTCTAACCCGACCAGTTGCTATAAATAGATCGTCTCTTGAAGTTTGTATGGAGCGGTGGTTGCCTGAATCGACGACGGTTCATTCGCGGCTTTTCCCGGTATGATTCACACCACGGGCGGTGGTGGCTTCGCCACGACGACGCAGGACCTCGTCAAGCTCATTGAGACGCCCAAGGAGCACTTTGGCGAGCACCTCGCGACGCTCGGGGGTATCGAAGGCATCGCAGCCACGCTCAAGTCGTCCTTGGTCGCGGGCCTCGACAGCAACAATGCGCAAGACCTGCAGGCGCGCGAGGACGTGTTTGGCCGCAACTACATTGAGCCCGAGAAGCCCGCGACGATTCTTGAGCTCATGTGGGAAGCCTTTCACGACTCTACGATCATCGTACTGACCATCTCGGGCACGGTCTCGACCATCCTGGGATTTACGGTGCCACACGAAGGCGGCACCGGGTCTGACTGGGTTGAAGGAGCTTCGATCCTTGGCGCTGTCTTGCTCGTCATCACCGTCTCGGCTGTCAACGACTACCAGAAGGAGAAGCAATTCGCGGCCCTCAACGCCATCAAGGAGGACGAGAAGATCAAGGTCATTCGCAACGGCGTGCCCGCCGAGGTCTCCAAGTTCAAGCTTGTCGTCGGCGACATTTTGCGCGTCGACCTCGGCGATATTTTGCCCGCGGACGGCCTCGTTTTTGACGAGAGCGACCTCAAGATCGACGAGTCGGCCATGACGGGTGAAACCGATCTCATGAAGAAGACTCGCACGGGGATGGCGGCCATGTTCAGTGGCACGCGCGTCATGGAAGGCGTCGGGAAGATGCTCGTCACGTGCGTCGGCGCCCACAGCCAGAGCGGTATCATCTCGACGCTTGTCGCGGGCAAGGGCGAGGGCGGCAAGAAGGACAAGGCTGCCGAGGCCAAGAAGAATGGACCGCGCGATGACAACTGCAAGGTCGCGCCCGCCAAGCCAAAGAGCGACGACGACGAAGTGTACGAGACGGAAGAAGAGAGTCCGCTCCAGGGCAAGCTCAACAGCCTCACGGTGGCCATCGGCAAGGCGGGTACGACCATGGCCATCGTCGTCTTTCTGGCCATGGCCGTCCGCTTCTCGATCGAGACGTTTGTCCACGAAGAGAACGCGTGGGACAACAAGTACTACTCGACGTACCTCGGTTTCTTTATCACGGCGATTACGGTGCTCGTCGTCTCGATTCCCGAGGGCCTCCCGCTGGCTGTCACGATCTCGCTCGCCTTCTCGGTCAAGAAGATGCTCAAGGACAACAACCTCGTCCGACACTTGGACGCGTGCGAGACCATGGGCTCGGCGACAACCATTTGCTCGGACAAGACGGGCACGTTGACCACCAACCGCATGACGGTCATGCAGTGCTGGCTTGGCGGGCGCGAGTACTCGGCCGCGACGCAGCTCCTCGGCGAGATCTCGGATTCGATGAAGGAAGCGCTTAGCCACAGCATTTGCCTCAACTCGACCGCCGAGATCCTCCCGCCCAAAGGTGCATTCTCTCACGAGACAAAGCCAGAAGCTCATCTCTCGTCTAGTGGCGGGGCAGCCGTTTGAGCACACGGGCAACAAGACCGAGTGCGCGCTTCTTACGTTCTGCAAGGAGCTTGGCATCGAGTACAGCAACGTCCGGAAGGAGCATCCCATCCAACACATGCTCACGTTCAGCAGTAAGAAGAAACGCATGAGTGTCGTCGCCAAGCGAGGTACGCCGTAGCCGTGGTCTTCCATCCGATGATAGACTTCGGTTAGGTGTCAACGCGCGCGTGTTCTGCAAGGGCGCGACCGAAGTCGTCTTGGGCCTGTGCAGCAAGATGAAGCGGCTCGATGGCAGCGTTGCCGAGCTCTCGGCCACCGACAAGGAAGAGATTGGCGAGAAGATCATCGACAAGTTTGCGGGCCAGGGCTATCGAACCCTCTGCCTTGCAATCCGCGACCTCGACATCTCTTGCGACCAAGTCAAGGAGTGGTCGGACGACGACATTGAGACGGACCTTACGTGCATCGCGATCGTCGGCATTGAAGACCCGGTGCGGTCCGAGGTGCCGGAGGCGATCCGACTCTGCCACCGCGCCGGCATCGTTGTGCGCATGGTCACCGGCGACAACATCATCACGGCGCGCTCGATCGCCAACAAGTGCGGGATCCTCAAGGCCGGCGACAACGCGCTCACGATGGAGGGCTCCGAGTTTCGTAAGCGCGTCCTCGACAGCAACGGCAAGATCATCCAGTCCGAGTTTGACAAGATCTGGCCGCACCTGCGCGTCCTCGCGCGCAGCTCACCCAAGGACAAGTACACGCTCGTGACAGGCCTCAAGCAAACCAAGCTCATGCCGTACGGGCCGCAGGTCATCGCCGTCACGGGCGATGGCACCAACGACGCGCCGGCGCTCAAGAAGGCCAACGTGGGCTTCGCCATGGGCATTTGCGGCACGGCGGTAGCGAAAGATGCATGCGACATCATCTTGATGGACGACAACTTTACCTCGATTGTCAACGCGGTCAAGTGGGGCCGCAACGTGTACGACTCGATCGCCAAGTTTCTCCAGTTCCAACTGACTGTTAACTTTGTCGCTGTGATGCTTGCCGTGCTGGGTGCGCTGATCCTCGAAGAGTCGCCACTCAGCGCGATTCAGCTGCTCTGGGTCAACTTGATTATGGACACGTTTGCGTCGCTGGCACTCGCGACCGAACCACCGACGGCAGCGCTCCTCGAACGCCGGCCGTACTCGCGCACGAAGCCACTGCTCAGTCGCTTGATGGTCAAGCACATTGTGTGCCAGGGCCTCTTCCAGCTCATCGTGTTGCTCATCATGCTTTTCGAAGGTGAAGTCATCTTCGACATTCCATCGGGGCGTCGGGGGGAGGTCCAGAGTGCGGACAAGCGCTCGATTCACTTTACGATGCTCTTCAACACGTTCGTCTTCATGCAGCTCTTCAACGAGCTCAACTGCCGCAAGATCAACGACGAAATCAACATCTTTGTCGGACTCCTCGACAACGGTCTCTTCTGCGGCATCTCGGTCATCCAAGTGGTCTTCCAAGTGATCATCGTGCAGTTTGGCGGCGTGCCCTTCAAGTGCCTCCCGCTGAGCGCGGCGCAGTGGGGCTACTGCATTCTCATCGGATCGTTCTCGCTTCCGCTCGGCCTTCTCTTCCGCATGCTCCGCCTCCCTCGCTGGATGTCCTTTGTCCTCTTTGACGACGAAGGCGTCTCGGACGCTGAAATGAGCCAGTGGGTCCGCGGTCTCAAGCGCGTCCGGCAGCAAATGGAGACCTCGCTCTTCAAGAAGGAGTGAAGAGACGCCTAATCGCTTTATATATCGATTACATGGACACCTAAACGACCCATCAATGTATATACTAGTATATGAATGTGCACCTAATATTGTCCAACACGCCAACGACAGATGCCGACTTCAACTTCCTATGCGCGGCATGTGCCGATTTTAACTCGGCATTCGGCGTGTGCCAGTTTTATTTTACGTATTGGAGTCGGCATGTGCCGATTATACGTGTGACGTGGCGCACCTCTGACAATGCATATATTGAATATCGGGTTTCAGCGAGAAACTTCATTTTGACCGATTTGATGGCGACGACCAGCGCGGACCTCCTCGCCGAGCTGCAAGGCCACTTGGAGCGCGACGCGTACCAGAAGGCCATCGACGTCTGCAACAAGAGTACGACTGCATGCTTCTCTGGCCATGACGCCTCATGCGCTGCTGCGTAGTCGTGGCGGCGACGCCCAACGAGGCGGCGGCGTACAAGGCCAAGACGATTGCGCTCATCCGCTTGAACAAGGTGCGGCCGCCGCCGCTGCGAAGCCGTGCTCATGCTCTCTACCGTGTAGCTGGACAAGGCGCTCGAGGTGGCGCAGCGCTTCGACTACCTCAAGATGGAAGCGGCCTACTGCCACTACAAGCTCAAGCGCGTACGTCGGCATCATCTACAGCGCGTGTCTGACACGTGGGCGTAGGAGACCAAGGCGCTCGAGATCCTTGCGACGCTGCCCGAGAAGACGCCGGCGGCCTTGCACTTGCAAGCGCAGGCGGTACGACAGCGATCTGCCTTTGCCGACAAAAGTTCGATCGACTGCGTAGCACTACCGCCTCAACCAGTTTGACGCGGTCATCTCGATCTACGAGGCGCTGCTCGCGCAAGCGTCGCCGTCCGACGACACGGTCGAGCTCAAGACCAACTTGATCGCGGCCTACACGGCGGCCGGTCGCGGCGCCGAGCTTGCAGGTCGCCACAACTTGACGACCGACGACAGCTACGAGATTGCGTTCAACAAGTCGTTCGTGGCGCTGCAGAGCGGCGACGTGTCGACAGCGGCTGCCCACGTCGCCGACGCCGACCGTACGCGCTTCGACCACCTTGCGGCGTCTCATCCTCGCTGCCTCGTAGGTCTGTGCCGATCGACGCTCGCCAACGACGGGTACTCGCCGGCCGAGATTGAGCAGGAGGCGCTCGTCATCGCCGTCCAGCGTGCCTACGTGCTCCAGCTCCAGGGGCGCGACGACGACGCGCTCGCCGGCTACACCCACGTGGTCCAGGCCAAGTACGTGGCTGTTTCCATCTCTGCATATCATCTCACTCAATGGGCATATCTAGGCCGTCGGACGCGAGTCTTGTCGCTGTCGCCAGCAACAACATGGCGACGCTGCAAAAGCACCACGACCTCTTCGACTCGATCAAGCGGCTCAAGGCCATCTCGAGCGAGACGCTCTCGGCCAAGTGCTCGCCCGCGCAGCACGAAGCGATCCTCGCCAACCTCGCGCTGCTCTGGTCCTGGATGAAGAAGGTACCTATCGACGCATCTCTCTACGTTCTGATATCGACGATCTGCTGCTAGCCGGACGAGACGCGCGATGTGCTTGCCGCGCTCAAGACGGCGTTCCCGGCCACGGCCCTCGCCGCGCCCATCCAGCTCCACGCGGTGCTTGGCTCGAGCGACGCGGCGCCGTCGGCCGATGCGCTCGCCCGCGCCCGTGCGACGTTCGAGGTACCGCATCTGGAAGACCCGCGTCGATCTCATAGGTCTTATCGTAGGCCGACGCGACGATCAACGGCCGGCTCTGCCTCGCACACGTGCTCGTTCTCCAGAAGGAGTTTGGTGCCGCCGCCGACACGCTGCGCTCGATCACCGAGGTCGCCCACAGCGCCGGTAGACACACACGAGTCGCAACTTCAGGTGGTGACGCGGTCGCGTAGGCACGGTGGCGACGCTCGTCGCGCTCTACGACCGTGCAAGCAACGCTGGCGCGAGTCAGAGCGTGCTCCAGGACGCGCTCGCGTTCCACGCAGCCCGCGATGCCACGTCAGTGGAAGCGCGTGCGATCGAGGTTGGTCGTTGATAGATTGATAGTTTGTTGCATCGACCCTCTCGAATTGTAGGAAGGCGACGGCGAGTACCAGCTGGCCCAGGGCAACCACGCGGCAGCGGCCGCGCGCTTCGAGAGCCTCCTCTCGACCGGCGCCCTCACGCCCGAGATGCGTCTCCGCTGCCTGGCCAAGCTCGTCGTTGCCTTGT